CCAAATTAAACCATGAAACACTTGAAAAGACCACCAAATTAAACCACTAAACACTTAAAAATCAATACAAATTTTAAAATTAAAATAGTCGCTAAATTTAATTTGGTCAAGTCGAAAAAATACTACTTTTGTAAAAGTATGTGGATTAAATACTTGTAATGAATAAAAGAAACGGATTGCTAAAATTATTGTGCACAATCAACACGAATTTCGAAGCAAACACAGGGTTTTTTAAAAAATTAAAAATAAATTTATTACTAAAGAAGAATATAATTAAATCCATTAGTACTTAAAAATTCACTAAACGAAAACAAAAAATCACTAAATTAAAACAGTCATAAATTTAAAATTGCTTTAGCCACTATATTCCTTTTAGCCTAGATGAGTTATAAAAAAAAGGTTCTCTTATTGTAAAGGTATATGAATGCAATGTTGGCCATAAGCAACTGAAAATATTTCTAAAATTGGGTAAGCTATCACTTTATGACCTGCACAAATTTTGTAGCAAAGGTCCGGTTTTGTTTTGAAATTTGAAATGATCACTAAACACTTAATAAATCACTAAATCAATTCAGTTTAACACTTAAAAGTATCACAAAATTGAATTAATAAACACTTAAAAATCACTGAAAATTTTAAAATTAAATTAATCACTAAATTACTTTTGTGCAAGTAAAAAAATGCTCATTTTGTAAAAGTTAAATACTTGTCATGAGCAAAAGAAACAGATCATTAAAATTAGTGTGCACGATCAGCTCGAATTTTGAAACTACGGCAAGGTTTTTTAAAAAAAATTAAAAATAAATTTATTACTTAAAAATAATATAATTTAATTCATTAGTACTTAAAAATTAGCTACCTTCTATAATTTGAATGTCAAAAATCCGAATTCAACAAAAAAAAGGTATGTTTGTTTAAAGAAAGTAGGTTTTTGTGTCTGATTTCGTAACTTAAAAAGTAGTCTGTATGGATTAAGCAGCATGTATCATTAGATTAAAATTTATTCAGAATGAATCTTTTTTTTCCCTTCTTTCTTTTATGCGCGCTGTACGTTAAATTCTAACGTTGAGATTTTCTTAAGAAGAGGCCTTATCGCTGGAGAAACTTTTCATGATAAATTCAGTTTCATCTTCATTGTTATTTTAAATTTAAAGTTGAGAGGAAAATAAGAGAGTTTAGGTAAGCCAAAAGTAAACCATGAAATTTAAATGCTGAAAATTTTTTTTCAAAATTTAAAATTGCAAACAAATTATTGCAGCATTACTTCCCCCACTTCTTAATCCTGAGTTATTCAAATTTTTTATTTTAAATTTTGATATTTCAAAAAAAAAAAAAAAATTGAGCATTTCTAACTTAATGCTTTTCTCTAGGTGAAAACTAAACTCCTTTTTTCTATGCATTAAATGTTAAATTATGTAGGTAAGAGAGAATTTGTCAAGAAAGGTTTTTCTCGCGGTATAGCGTCCTGCAAATAACGGTTTTAAATCAGTCCCTGTTATTAACAGCCGCATCTTTTATAATAAGCACTTAAAATACCACAAACAGAAGATAAGATTCAATAGGTTGTTAATGTGAAAAAAAAAAAAAGTAATGCTTAGTTATACGTGAACTTCTTATTGAACATTAACAATCGGTAGTATTGTCAGAGTAATTAAGTAAACTATGTTCAGCCAAATAGATTCTAGAAATGCGATATAAAAGTCCAGCTGCACAAGCAAAACAAATTAGTTCTCCTTATAAAAAAATAAAAAAATAAAAAATGCTGGCGCACCTCCTATTTTTAAACCATCTCCTTTCTTTTCTTCTTTAAGCAAAAACAATTATTGACAGAGGAAGTTGTAAATTAGAAAGAATATCCTTACATACCCCTTTTTTGTCCCAACTAAGTTTAGATGAAGCCGAAAAAAATTAATAAACTCATTTTGTAGTTGTTGCATTACTTTTAATCGACATTTACTCTCCAATTTTTTACTTCTATTATATCATTTCTTGCTTTTAAGTTTAGAGACGAATCTTTCTCTTATGAGACGATCATTTTAATTTAGTCATGTTCTCATAAGTCATAGGTCACACGTTTTACACATTTGTCGTTGTGGAATAAAATTTACATTAATACATTAGAATTTCCTCTTTTATGATACCACTTATTGAGAGATCTGATAGCTTAGAATTCCCTTACAGATATAATTCCTATGAAAAATAATTTATAGTAGTGGCGTCAAATGTATTAAAATGACGAAATTTTCGTCAACACTTTTGTAAGAGCAGTAGGAACTCTGTGTTTACAATAATTTGTATTTATAATAATTCAACAAATAGATAACTCTGGAAAACAAGTTTTTGTTGCATAATTCAGGTGTGGGGATTTGAAATCTGGGGGAGGACACAACAGGATTAAAATTGCTATTCTCGGAAATGTAGTCGCATGCGGCTAGGGGCACTTCTCTATTATGACTTGTTCAAAAGCATATGAAGAAACAGTTCATAATAGGGTGACCCGCCTCAGCGGTGTATGACACATTCGAGCATGGGTTCATATGCAAATTTAATCGTTATGTTGTGCCCTAACTCCCCTAAAAGTTTGTCGAAACATTTATGCAGCCCTCTGTCATGTATAACGTTTTTAAATTTGTATATTTCGACAGAAAAAATGAACTAAAAATGTCATATAAAAAAAATACAGTTTGGTAAGAGAAACCAATTGCAGATTTGAAATTAGCGATGTGAAAACATCCAAGATCCGTTAAACTATCTAATGCAACAGAAGAAAAAAAAATGTTCTGTTGTGTAATCATTATTTGTTTATAATTTTACTTTATTTGGTTCATCGGCTAAAACCTAATTTTGTTAAGAAAACGTACTCTTGTAAAATAATTATGATTTAATTTGAGTAATGCTGTTTTGTATTTGCAAATTTGAGTACTGCAATTATGATTTAATTTGAGTAATGCAATTTTGAATGCAATTTTTTAAAAAATTGCATTTAAAATTTTTGTAAAAAAAATTTCTGAGTAATGCAATTTTTGTAAAAAAAAAAAAAAAAAGGAAACTGATTTGAAATTACTTTTTGTATGTACACTAAAAGAAATTTTTGTACAAAATTTTTCACTGTTGGATACCAGATAACAGAATTTTTCCTAAAAATAAATAAATAATAAATCGAAAAATATCGCATAAAAATTACATAAGTGTAATCACTAAATAGTAGTAAACAATTATCTAACTCGGATAATTTATAAACACGCGAATCGAAAGGTTTGGAGCAATATAGTGATAACCAACACTTTTTTCAAAACAAACGTTTCTTTCATAAAACCGTTCCTTAATATTGAATACTTCCCAAACATAATATTTATCTATTTATAATTATTACAATATTCTAAATATTTATCTAATATTTCTCATAAGCTCAAAGATTTTTTTTCTTTTATACTATAGGAACTAATTTTTAAATAACTTAAGTCTGAAAGGAGCAATTTTTCCAATTCCCTATATTCTGACTCCAATGCTTTGTTTATTTGTTTGGTCTATAAAAACGATAACGTTGAAAGAACGAGTTTCTTTGAAAGATATCTTTTGATATCATAGTGGAAGGAGGGGTCTAAAATTGCCACAAAAGAAAAAAGAAAAATGATATAGACGAACAACCCCCCGAGCAGTGTGGATGATTTCCCCCTTTTTATGAAAATCGCTTATACTGCTGAACATGGATTAAGGGAATCCATATTATAAACTACTTTCTTCATTCTATTTTTGCTGATCTATTCATTGGGATTATTCGAGCTTAATTCTGAGTTTATGGGGATGTCAGAAAAACGTGCTTACTTTATAAAAGCATATATATATATATATATATATATANAGGATGAAATCATGACAATATATATATATATATATATATATATATATATACATTAAAATGATGTAAAAAATTGGATACCTTACAATTGAAAATTTTTTCGACTATTATTAAATTAATTAATAAAAGTATACAAAATGTTCACTAAAAGTTTTTTTTTTTTTTTGCATGGAATTATCTTCGGATAAGCGAATTTTATAATTGTGTTCAAAAATTTTTCAATTCGCTTAAAAAAATTATTGAGATACAGCGAAATACGCAAAAAGTAAAATTATCATTAGGGGGTGATAATTTGGGTCCACTCTCCGACCAAACTATTGTGACCATTTTTTCCAGATTGCGGCTATCCCCATTCGGAAATCCAAATGCATCGAAAAAAACGTATGTTTATTCAGAGAAAGTACGTTTTTGTGTGTGATTTCGTCTGCACTGATTAATTAGCATATCTGAAGTCACCCCCCCCGAACCATTAAGATTGAGTCCTAGAACGTGAAGATCCGATCGTTAGATCAAAAGTTATTCAGAGTGGTCCGTTTTTTTTATTTATTATTCCTTGTTTTATTCTTGCTCACTGTACGTTACTTAGACAACAGCAAGAGAGTATCCCCTATCTTGTTATTTTTGATTGAACTATGTGTAACTTGTACTATGTGTAATACTCTTAAACTATGTGTAAAATTATCTATTCACTTTAGCAAAAAAAGGGAAAAAAATAATAATAGTAATAATAAAAAATAAGTAAATAAATAAAAAATAATTTCTATTTATATTAAGTTATGATTTTACTTTGAATATGGGAAGTATGAAAAAAAAATTAATTCGGAGAAAAGCTCATATAAATCAAGTTTTAGTTTATTTGTATTTCATATTTATAGTGAGTAAACTACTCTTTATTATTTAATGATGAAGTGTATGTTAGATTCTTAAGAAAATTCAGGTTATTTGTAATTCTATTTAAGCTATTATCACAAATCTTCAATATATCAATAGTTTCTATTTTTGTAGAAAAATCGTTTTATTTTTCTGAAATATAAAGATTGAAGTTTTTTTTTAATTTTTATTTATTTAGTTATTTATTTACATAAACTACTTGTAACTCGGCTCTTTTTTAATTTAAAATTTGCAGTCTTCAGAATTTTTCTAACTAATACCCCTGAAAGTCCATATTTGAAAACTTTCATTTTATTTGCATTTCAATTTTGAAACAGATATTATTATTTCATTGATAAATAAATGATAAATAAACATTCTAGATTTTCAATAAATGTCACTTCAACCTGACTTTTCTGTAATTTTGTTCGAGGAATAAAAATCGTATCATGTTGACAAAGTTAGCAGTTAAAAGAACACCCACAAGAACAAAAAAAATAAATTTATCATCGTCACCCTCTTGTGAACTCAGTTCATTAAGTCCTACCTGGAGTGAAAAATGGACTCGTCCCATCTCGTTGCTAAGCGACGGTAGCTGCCATTTCCCCGGTTCTGCTCCAAACCTACGCTTTCTGCAGGGATACAAATCCTAACAGTCTAAGCTTGTATGCAATTTGACGCTAATGCTTACGTAATGTAATAAGCTATATTAGTTATAGTTTAGTTATTTTGATCAAATATCAACGATTCTTAATATATCTTTCGCTGTTTTCTTTGATCAAATATCATCTATTTTTAATATATGTTTCTATCTTTAACTTCATAGGACTTTTTTTATCCCAAATTTTTTTTTTAAAGAAAAGATTCTTTTAAAGTAAAGTTTCAATTTTTTAAAACGATAATTGTTTTATTTGTGTAATTTTTAAATCTATATGGCCAAAAAACGAAAACGGAATTCGTTTTTTAATTCTACAATATTTACCATGCCGTGAAAGTTTTTGTTAATTAAAATTGAGATAAAAATTATAAAATTAGTTGTTAAAGTATTGTTAGAAGAATTTTTTGTTTCACAATTTTGAAACAATATCAGCCATCGCATGCTTGAACCCTTGTGTTATGAACCAGTGTGCTGTTGGACAAATTCATATACTTCATATGAATTTGCTGGAGATCAGGAATATTTTAATTATCTATTCCCATGTCCGTAAGTATTTTAATTAATTTATGCATGTTTTTTATTAAGAATTTATTTGTTTTTTAATAAAGATAGTATTTTAATGCCCTCAAATTCTGCAAAAACCTGTAAGTTTTTGAATAAGTTTGTTGCATTAAAAATATTTCCTATTTCAGCTAATAATCATATTATAAATAAAATTTAGTAAAAAAAACTAATTAAACATGTAAAAATAATCCTACATAATTAATATTTTATCTTAATGTCATTGTTTGTTTACGATCGCGCACGTGTTCTTTGTTTACTGTTTACTTCTTCATTGCATTAGCACAACCTTCAAAGTACTTAGCGATATATCATTTGCTTTGCAATTGATCTTGCATATATCATTAAAAATGCGGATAAGTTTTAAATTCTATTTTAAAATTAATTACATATTTTTTAATATATTGGTTACCTTTAACTGGCTAACAATGGATATTGTTGATATTTTTTTTAAATGACTAATTAAAAAAATATTTTTGAATTATTCCCTTTTTTGCACATTTGTTTTTATATTTTATTTCTCTTTTAGTCAGTAGAATTTACTTCATTGCCGTTAGTAGCATGTCTTATTTGATTTCTGTTTTGTCAGTAGCTAACAATACATGAACAATTTAATTATGTATAATTTACAATAAATATGCAATTTAATATCTATATATAATTTATTAAATATATAGTTTATTAAATATATAATTTAATAAATCTAAATAGACGTGTTATCTACTACGAAAGAAACCGGTAATAAATATTTTGTTACTATTTTTCAAACGCTGATAGAACACTCAGAGGAAAATTTTTCTCTTTGCAATTAAAATAAATATTAATCAATAAATTAATATTAACGTCTTGTATTTGCTTTTGCATCTTTTCGTTTCATTTTGCTTTTATTAAAACAAACAAGGTATTTTATTAATAAAATGTCAAATTTAAAATAATAAATTAATAAAAATTTGAAACAAAAATTATTTTTGTTCGATGACACACTTGGCTGTTTGCTACTTATCTACCTTTATTATGAGTTTCCCGAATTTCATTTTTAAAATCGTTTTTTTTTTAAATACTTTCTTTTAAAAATTTCTTATGTTTTCATATCTAATGTCGCAATTATATATTGCATTACTAAAACAAATGAATTTGACCTAATTCGATATAATTTATACACTTAACGTGCATTTTTTGCTAATAATTTTTTTATTATCTAATATTGAAATATTTAAAACAATTGCAGTTAAAATACAAGTTTGTTTTTTGTATCATTTTAACTCTATCTCAATCTTATACCTCACCTTCTCTCAGAAACCGGTCTGCGATGAGAAAAAGGAGGAGGAGGGCCAAGAAAGTAGCATTCTTTAAAGGAGCTCTTAATCTTATTTATTAGTCCAGATGAAATTTTTCAAGAATATTGCTGTGTTGTGTATATAAAGTCAAGGAATTCCTCCCCTCTCTTGGGGGTAATCGAAACACGATAAGACGTGCTTGGAAGAAAAGTCTAAAAGATAAATTGCGGCAGGAATTGTGGCTAGGAATATTGGTTTGAGTTTGATTCTAATTGGAGGGGAGGGGGTGCCAAATTAGGGGGTCTAAAGATGCTAGTCGGTTTTTTGAACTCAGAAATGCCGTTTCAAGTATGAAAATAATCCCCCCTTCTCTTTTATCATCTCTACTTTAACAGGTTCAATGTAGCTAAAATATGACAGATTTTGTTTTGCTCTGAAATCTTCATGAGTGGAGGTGAGGGGATTAAACTGAGGGATTAATCTTAATAGGTAATGTTGTAATAAATAACAGTAAATTGAATTTTGTATCCAGTGTGAAGAATGGAAGAAGGTAGTTTAAATTCCACTTTTTTAAGTTTTAATATAAAAAAAAAATATTTAAATAACCCTTTCGCTAGCAGTAGTTATTTCTGTTCCATAAGGTATCTTCATGAGGTAAAGTTTTTTCATGAGACAAACAACAATATTTTGTCAAAATAAAAATTAACTGCTTGGGCAATTGTGGAGGTAATCAACAGCAGGGCTTCTCAACAGTTTTTTATCCCTGCGGACCGGTCAACGTTTGATAGTTTTACCACGGCCCGCTGAGGAGGGGGGGTAGGAGGGAGGGGCGACGTTAGTTGTTTATAGTTTCGATTGTTTTGATTACAAAATTTTAATTTAATTGTATTTAAATATGCCTCTAAGTAAAATACAATAACATGATCGGTATTAGTGCGGCTATAGGTGACGTCAGCTCCCGGTTAAACTATCGTCTATAAAAAGTTGTACAACTCCGAAAAAATACACCACAGTTAATAAAATGGAAATAATTCAAAGTTCCTTGGGCGGCCGTGTACTTTTTGATCCACGGCCCGGGGGTTTGAGACCACTGACCAACAGGAGATGAACTCTAATGAATTTCAAGTCTTACTTATCCCATCGAATTATTAGGAAATATCTGCGGGGCTAAAAGGGTTAAGAAATCCTTCAAAACCTTCAGCACAAATTATTAATAGCTAAATAATTCTTAATAAATTAATTAATAAGCTAATTAATTAATTAAAGTCAATGAATTTTTTTTTAAAAATTTATGAATATTGGTTTAGATTAGGTTTATGATACTGATTGGGATGCAATTAGGTATAAAAACAGAGTCTGAGGTTTTTCGTTTAATTCTGATTTCAGAGGGACTATAGCTATCTGTTAAGATCTGAAGACATAGATGTACCTGTCAAGTATTACGATTTCACAGAAATTTTCTATTATTAAGTTGTATTGTGAGAGTAATAAGTGTTCGAATTTTTCTTTTCTTAATTTCGATAGCCTTATCACGTGATAGTATGGCTGTCAAGTTTTCCACGTTTTTGAGTTTTTTTATAAGTCACTGTGGCCAAAATATTTTTAAATCTTATCAATTAAAATAAAAAATAAATACTTAAGTATAGATTTTGCTACCACTGAAAAAAAAATCTTCCTTCTTAAACGAAAAGTTGGCAGCTATAGAGATATTTTAAAATATGTCATTTGATGATACCATGATGATACCGCTAGCTCAATACTGGTATATTTATTTTCCTACTCACAAATTTGCGAGACAGTCGTTATTTCAAAATTCATTTAGGGGGAAATACTTCATTTTTAAAATGAACTACTTATTTGATACTAGCTTTCAAAATTATTTATAATGAAAATAAAAAATTTTTGTAGGTCTTCTTAATCTATATTTTTTGTAAAGTAACTAACGAAATAGAAGATTGCATTTTTCTAATTAAATGTAAATAACGAATGCTATTAAATGTCAACACTTTTTAAGTCTAAATATTTTTAGTAATCTATATATATGTTCATGAATTTTCATCAATTTTATTCGACAGATAAACGTGAAATAAATATTGCACAAATGCAAATTAAAGAATGACTTTGCGGTTGGGAATTCCTAAAAACTTATTCTTATTTTCATTTCATGACTTATTGAATCTAACGTATCGTTTCTTATTTTTGATGTATCAGTATTTCGCCGTCTACAGCATATTTCGTGGATTATAAATTTCGTTTTGTCAGTTGATAAATAGCTGATGTAAAACCTAATTATTTCTAGATTTTGATGTGTCAGCAATAATATGAGAAGTAGGCTAATGATGAAGATCAACCTTATTATTTTTAAACCAAAACTATCTAAAGAAAGGAAAAACTATCTAAAGATCAGTTAAAAATATTTAGTGTGAAACTTATAAATTATTCATCATTGAAATCATTATTTTTTTCCTTGAACTCTTGAATAAGTTTTGGCACTTTTAAGGTGTATATATATACACCTTACGTCTTTGAATTTGGGGTATTTTTAAAGTAGATAGATATAAATAATTAAAAATACCAAAAATAATAAAGTGTTTAAGTTTAATATTTACATTAATGTTAACATATCTTAATGCTGATGCATTTATGTCAAAATATATATAAAACGTTTTATGCTAATTTTGATTCTCTACATAACACTTTCTACTTTCGATTCTCTACATAATACAAGGTGTTCCGTACTCACCGCCTGTAATAAATATTATTTCGAATTGAAAACTTTTTATTATTGTAATAAATATGAAAATATTGCATATTTGTTTCTCAAGTTGGGATTTAATTTGGAAGTTCTTGTATAGTGACCGGAAATAACTTGTTACAATGTATATTGCTACTTCCTCTATGTTCTTATCTGTCTTTCGCTGAGGATCTTAATTTAGTAGATACCTCGTCTCTTATCTTGTTGTCAGCGTATTAGTCTATTTTGGCGAATAAATAATCGTTTCAAAATATTTTATTCCTAGTACGAAGGATGTTTATTTTCCTTTTATTATTTGCACCATCGATGAATATCAACAGTTCTGGGGTCATCTTATACTGCGTTTAGGAGCGCGATATCGTTTTTGAAATATGCATTTCTTAAAACAAATAAGTGACTAAATATAAATAAATAAATAAAATAAATAAATAAGTGTAAATAAACAAAATAATAATAAAATTTCAAGTGGAAATAGGCGCTTATCAATAAATGAATCAATTTAATAATAAAGATACTTCGTCTTTTTTTTTTTTTTTTTTTTTGTTAAGATTGCTGCCGTTTTATTTTAAATTGAAAATTAAGTTGGATAACAAACAATAAATAATTTATATGAAAGAAATGAGGGGAAAATATGCGTAAATATTAGAGACAACTATGAAAAGATATTTTTCATTTCATAGTTGTCTCTAATATTGAATAATTCTTCACTTAATAAAACAAAAGATGAATTAAAAAAATTAAAGGCGGTGAATATAAATAGAATTTAAATTTAACTCTTTATTTTCAACTATCTATAATTACATTTTCTTCAATAATTTCATTTCCATCTATTTTTTCTATCTGCGAACTGTAACAGCTCTCATTTACTTAATAAGAAAAAAAATGTTTTATTTTGTTTGAAATTTTGGTATACATTAATATTCTTGTTTTGTAAATCAAATTTTGCTTAAATCGGAAAAAAAGAAAAAACTGTATAGTTTTCCTTGAAACTCATTTTTAGAATTTAAAGATAAGAGTAATTAAGTGAAAGATGTTCGACTTTAATGCTGACTGCAGAAATCACATTTAGCTCATTTCCAAAACATTTGTAATTAACTATTTTCTTTTATTTACAAAAAACGAGTTAGATTTATGACCTAAATGTTTGATAAAATGCGCAATTTCAAGATTGTCTTTATGATAGCAATGGACAATAATTAAAGTAGTAATGAACAATAATTAAAGTTCTTCGTATTATTAAAGCTCGCTTATCAAATCGTGCTTTTTGCAATCGATGATGCACTATTTTTAATTGTTTGACTAAATTATTATTATACTGGAAAAGTGACGTAACTAAGCAAAGATTTCGATTTAACTTTTGTGACACGCTTTTTTTATGCTACTTCAATTATTTAAGTTTTAGTAATTATCATTTTATTTTATTTTTTTCTGACGTTCTTTATTAAAACATGTTTAAAAGATTTATGGAATTTAGCAGTGTTTTTAAATTACAAAGCTACCATTGTAGGATTTCATATTTATTTATTCGTTCTACTGGCGTCGTTTAAGATGAAATTTGGGTATGTTTACTAATCCTTTACAATATTTTTTATCATTAAAACGGACCCTTCTTAAAATAGTTAATTCTTAAAATCCCTTCATTAGGACCCTTCACAAAATATTTCATTGTGAAACAGTCGCTTAACATACCTTTTGAAAAACAGTGTCAATGATTAATTCCTTCCTATTGCTTCTTAAGACATAATTATGCATTTTTTTTCATCCCAAAACGGGAGCTTATTTTCACATAAGCATCTTGAAAAGCTAACTCTAAATAGTAATTTTATTTATTTTTTTCATAATACTGTGTACATGTAAAGGTGATCATCTGTCTTCTTTTTCCTCTCCTTGTACATATTTAATGAGTTGCATTCTGTCGGGCTCTAACCCGAATTGTTCCTTAGACACTGTAATCATCGTTTTAAAATTGTGTTTTATTTCTTTATGTTCCTTATAAGTCAAAATCTGACTTGAATTGCTGTTATTTCTGTACATTTGTTTTTCTTAATAAACTATTAGGGGGACCAGAAAGTAATGTTGTTTCGGTGCATGTGATATTTTTTTAAGCAGAATTTCATAAAACCAACATATCCATCCTCGTTAGCAACAACCTTTCAATGTCGGATAGAAAATGAATTAGTTTTTAAGACTAACGAATATTTAATGAGTCCAAATGACGTTACTTTCCAGTCCCCCTGATATTTACAGCCTTCTGGTTGGGGTGGGACAATGGAGGGCAGTTGTTGCTCAGCATGCAGTGTATGGACTTCCTTAGCTTTATTTTACCCCGTTATTACAACATCAGGGATCCCCCTGGACTAAATCACAGATCAGCCTATCGACGGATAGTGTTGCCATCCATTGTGATATAGCCTTCACTTTCTAACGTCCTTTTCTCTCAAATTGATGCAGTCACGTGCGCGCACTTCGTGTCACCAGTATTCCCTGGATGCCCTTATGGGAGCGGGACAGGGTTAAACCGAGCTTTTCACATAAGCACAACATTAAGAGTAAATTTTTTTTTATAAAATTACGAATAGATTTTTCACATGTTCACATAAACTGACCTTTCACAAAAGGGCTGGAATGTTTAAAAACCCTGCATTAAAAGGACAAATTTAATTGTAAAGTATTTAAGTAAAAAAGAAATTGAAGAAAAAGATATTAAATTCATTACTTGAATGTTCTATCTTATTTATTTTCTATCTTGATCATTCTAGAGTACCAGATGATTTAGTTTCTAACCATGTTTTCTTTTATTTTAGTTATACATCTTCTCTACAAGATGACTTGGAGATGAGTGAAAGTGATGAAGAAGCGGTAAGACTGTCAGCTTTGAAAATCATTCATTCATTAAATACTATCCTGTTTATGTTGTGTCTTTAATGAAGTATGTTTCCCTTAACTATGCTTGGAAACAATTGTAATCTTAGTTTAAAACAATTTAAATACATTGTTTTCAACCAAGATTTCTAGAATACAGATAGAAGATATGAGTTGGTAGGATAGCAAAATTGGAAATATTTTCATAGTTCATTTTTGAAATATTTTTGGAATTTTTTTATTATTTTTTTATTCTTTAAATGCTTAAGAATTTAATAGAAGGCAACAATTTCAGCTCTTAGTGTGCCATTGAATGATCAAGCAACATCAAATCCTAATTAGTAAAAACCACCAATTTTATGAACGCAGAATAAAATTTTAAAGCATCAACTTAAAACATAATGTAACTAGGGAAATGAACGCTCTGCAGACTTTGTGGTGAGAGGATGAGAGTATTCTTAGCAATACCATAATCTTAAGAAGAAAGGAAAGTGTTCACCTAAAATTATGCATAGTCAGTGAGAGAGGTCCCACCTAGACTAACACATGAGCACACCCAGAGCTGTTTGAGGTCTTTTAATTTTTAAAAGTTGCATTAATACCATATAATAACAATGCAACAAGGTAGGTACATAACAATGTCCTTTATACAAGGTTGATGTATAATGTAACTGCAAGCATAAAATATTTTTTTATGGTTCCATTTTATGTTTTTTATTGAATTTTATCCCCACTGCTTAAATGCCATGCCTGATGGCAATTATTGTTATCATTTGGAACTTTACATAATAACTGAAAAGTTGATTGTGTGTAACTTTTGTTTTTATCACGAAATATAATAATTTTTATGCACAATTGTGCTATGTCTTAATAAATGAATAATTTTCTGAAAACTTTTTATCTTAATTATAACTATGCTGAGTAGTTATTCAGATTTTAGAATTAATGTTTGCTTTGGGAGGACAAAATAATTAATTTCCAAAAGCTTGGCAACAATACTTTTTGGTTGATTTGTACTATCAGTTGAATTTCTTAAATTTTTGCAGAGGTACATATAACATTGTCATGCATCAAAAGAGCTGAAAATTATACCAGGAAGGTATTCAATTAATCTGTTCTCCATAAATATATAGGGTGTTCTTTAACTACTGCCCTTAATGTATAATTTTAATCAAAGTATTCCCACAACAGCCTGCTGTGGGTCAGTTCATGGCTCCATAAGTCAGGGAGGGTAAGGGTTCGCAATTGCGTGAACAATGGCATGATTGTGATAATGGGGCCAGTATTACAAGCAGGTGATCTTTACTTCTCTGACTAGCTGGTACTCATTAATCTGAAGATGGGTAGGCTTCAAGCCACCACTGAAGATTGAACCCCAGTCCTTCCCAATGACAGTTCAAGTCCCTTTTAACCCCTTTAATTTTAAAATCAATATAAACAATGAAGTAAAAAATTTATACAAATTAAGAGTGGTGAAATAATATTTAAGAGAGGTTAAAGAGAAATATTCCATAAATATGATAATTCATTATTGATTAAAGTAATATTAATTTTAAAAACATTAAATCCTGTTTAGTTACCAGAAAAACAAAAAGGAGTTGAAAGGTATAATTAGAAATACCTTCAAGTTTTATTCAGCAATCATACTTGTTCTGAGGTTTTTAAGTTAATTAACAATTATTCATTAGATTTCCATGTCAGTTTTGTTTTTCTCTTCATTTCAATATATTAATTTGTGTTAACTAATGTGTATATTTTTTTAAAAGAAATATTTTTGTCAAGTGTTCTAAAAATATATAAATAAGAATAAGGGTGGTAATTATATACCACCCAATATATGGTCAATTCTTGCAATCTATTTTATTGTAATTGTACCCATATAAAGGCATTATTCTTATTATTTTCATTTTAACTGCTTTTTTTTTACCTTAAAGTTTTTTTAATAGTTTAATAAGCTTTATTAGTCTGAGCTAGATTCTTACAGTCAGCTCATGTGAAACAGTGATTTTATCTCTTTAACTCTTAAATTAGTTATTATATCACTCTGTTCTGTTGTTTAAGTGTCTTTTAATGTAGGTGTATAATTTTGTTAAGTTATTTTTTAACAAATTTGCACCTAACTATTTATAGTGACTCTAAATTTAACAAAAATAAACTAAATTATATTTCTAGTAATGTTTATTTTGTTGAATTTAGATTGAATAGTAACATTTGGTATAAACAATGCAATAATGAATTTTCTATAATCATTTTATATCCAATTCTGTATAATTTTTTATATGCGTGATACAATTTACATCTCCTTATAGGTGCCAGACAAAAAAGAAGATACTTCAGAATACCTGTAAGCATTAATATATGTTTTTTATTTGTGATGTGCATGCTTCATATACTTCTATTATTTTATATAATTGTTGCACTGTACTTTCATTATTTCATATACTAAATGTACCAACCTATTGCAATTTCTTTAATTTTGAAAATAAGAAAATGTATTACATATACCATATAAAATTTAGTATTTAACATAAATTTATTCTTGCTTAAACATTTTTTAATAGTGGTATAATAGTTATAAAAATAGTTGCTTTAAATGTTATATTTTGAGTATCCAAATATAAACAATAAAAGTATTGTCCTGTATATTCATTTCCTGTTATGAATGATATGCTACAAAACTAAATTTTAATTTACCAGAAATATACTTGATTATTTCAAACTGTTTGTCAGCTTTTAAGATGATTAAATTATAGTTCATTTTTTAAAAAAAAGTAAAGTATATGCTTGAAAGTAAAGCAGAAAATAAGCTTAAATGTCCTTAGCTTTATGTTACAATCTTTTTTTCTTAGTAGGATTTATTTTAGTCATTTTTATCACTTATGTGATCGTGATTATGCCTATTTACACTGTTATGCATATTTTAGAGCTGCTCCAAGCAATCCAGTAACAGTAAACAGTACTTCTCCATCTGCCCCAGTAAGCAGCACAAATATGGAAACAAATTCCGCTTCATCATCTAGCTCAGAGAGCGGAGACAGTGATTCAGATGATGATAGCTCAGAATCAAATAATTCAGATTCTTCTAGTGAGTCCTCTGATGAAGATACGTCGTCCATGGTAAAAAAATAATTAACTTATTGATAATTAATAAATTAGCTTATTACTTTAATTGCTTTGTATGAATTTCATTTCAATAATGCCTCAATTCTTACGACGTTTGTCACATCAGCTCATTTTGATGCTCAGGGATCTTGTTTGATTCACATGAATGCCGCTTTCCTAATAAACAACAAGAGTTTCTCACAACCTCTCCATAGTTCCTGGAAATGCAGCCTGTCATGAATTGCCTCTTGGTTACCATGGGTTTTCTTTCTTTGTTTTTCATCTTTATTTACTTTCAGTTTTTCTTGTTGGCAGCTCTACGTTTTCTATTTCAAATCCTGCTTTGTTTTCCTCATTCACTCCTGGGGAGTTTTGAGAATGGGTGTCTATTTTTGAGTGCTTGAACATGTAGACTTCTTTTCACTTTTATAATTTATGAAGCAAATTATATTATATGCCTTGAACCATGCTTGCTATTAGAGTTCTAAATCCGTCAGAAAAAAATTCTTTAACTTTCATGATGATTATTCAATATTTTTCAATTTAGGTGCCATATTTAAAAAAGAATTTCAAAATTTGCTGATGATGATAGCCAAAACATTTGGTTAATTATGTTTTTAAGAATTTAATAATATTCCAATGTTATAGAGTTGAAGCTGTTTATCTCAAACCTCTTTATCTCAAATACCTCTATACCTCAAAATTTCTAAAATCTCCTACATTTACTGTATAAAATCAATGTATTTTCCATATTGATGTCGAATTTTTTTTCCAAACTTCCGTTCCTCAAATTTCTAATAATAGAGCACAGATGTTAAAACTTTCTTTATCAGTAGAACTTGCAGACAGAGATGAATTTCAGGAACCCACAAGAAGTAGGGATGAACAAGTTGAGGGGTGTTTCTTGGAATTTCAATCACTATCCCTGCACTTCCTTAGACTTAGAAAGGAATACAATGATTCTGGCAGTAAGTGAGGGGTTAATGAGTAGTGACCACCAGGGGTTAGCTTTTCAACATAGATAAGAAAGCTAAGAAGAGAAATTCATTTTCACCTTAAAATTGCAACCAATGAATCAAAGGATAATTAAGAATTTTAAAGTGAACTATAGAAAACCGTTGGTACACAAACTTGTAGATGCCATCGGTGAAAAAAGTTCTCTTCCAAAAATAAAGATGTTAGATGCTATCAGAATTACTGTTTTGCCTGGAGAAATGTGTCTAAAAACTATCCAAAATGGTTTTAAAAAGCTGGTTTTAAGAATAGCTGTGAAGATGATGAACAAGAGGGTGAAGGCATCAGTAAAGAAGAAGAAACTGTTGACGCTGAAAATGCAGTGCCAGATTTGACAGAATGGAAAGCAATAAAATCTGGATTTAGTGTTGACATTGATTTTGAAGATTTTTACAAGTGGTCAACTGCCTGGCAACATGCGAAAATCATAGATAATGTAAAAGGAATACCCAGATGAAAAGGAAGAAGCTGAAGATCATATTGATGAACCAAAAGTGAATGCAAGAGATGTAGAAAAAGCAGTAGAATTCTAAATAGACTATTCTTGAATCCCGGAAAAATGTTGGTTATGAGGGATTTGTAACCTTACTTTCTAACCTTAAGAGAATAGTCGAAACAAATAAGATTATAGGTCAAAAATATTTGAAAAATTATTTTCAGTGTTAAATGTATGTTAAAAAATTCTATGTAAATTTATGTATGAGGTATAATTAATTTACAGAAATGCCTATTTTTTTTAAAACATTTGAAGCACTTGTATTAGAATTTCTTAATTAAATTTTCTAAAGTACCTGTATATCTTGAAACCTCTTAATCTCAAATTTTTAGCCATTCCCATGAGATTCGAGATAAACAGGTTCGATTGTATTAAATTTCCACTTGGATTTTTCCTTATTCAATGTAAGAATCATAATTAAAAATGCTGAAATTCCGCAAACAAATGATTTACTTTTTTCAGAGCTTTGACTATTTACCTTTTAGAGTCATATAAGAAGTTTTAGTGGTATAATGGCCTTTTTGCTATTTTAAAGATTCATTTTAAATTACAAATTAAAAAGCACCAAAATTCTCTTGTACTCATATATTAAGCTTTCAAAGTATTTTTTAAAAAGTATTTTTCTTTAAATGGTATTTTGTTTTAATGCATCCCAGAATATTTTTAAAATTGTTCATCAAAAATATATTCAGAAATCAATAGAATCAGTCCAAATATGGCAATCAATGTGTAATATTGGAAAATTTATTACAATATTACACATTGGTTGTCATAACAGCATTTTTCCATTTTTTTTATTAAAAAAAAATCATTTCATTATTTAATCAACTAAAATTTTTATTCCTAAAAACTATCACTATTAACTGTGATAAATCTTAATGTAAACATTATCCCATGTGCCAAATTTTTGCAAGTTATAATTTCAGCTGTACCAAATATTGCATCCACAAAATCTCATTAAGGCAATAATGATGTATCAAAATTCTTGTTCATTGTATTCTAACTAAACACTGTATATATCACCAGTATTGTCTGGATTTTGATGCCATTTGCATTTTTGTACTTAAGGCTAACTTCTCCCATTAAAAAAATAATAAGGTGCCTTTTTTTCTCTCCTGTCAACCAAGACAAATGTTTAAGAAAATAACATAGGTTAAGTACTTGTTTGATTATAAGAAATTAATTTTATTTTAAGGACATTTTGACTTTCATTAGTTTATTAATTTCCAGATTATGGTTATCAAATTTTCATATATCTTAAATGTTATTTATTGACTCCTATAATTATTACATTAAATATACTTTTCTGTCTTAGAAATGGGGCTTGTCCAATTTTGTTGATGAATCTAGAAGAAATCATTCTCCGGCATTCCGAAGTCTTGAAATGCAAAAACAACTGAATAGTGCAAAACCTGTTAGTAATGTTTGTGCTCTAACTGCTAAAGACAACTTCAGTCCGTAAGTGTACCATTTAAGCCTAATAAAAAAGTGAAATGTTTAATTTATAAATGAAATATTATTTTACCATCAGATAGCATGTATTAAAATTTTTTTTATATTAAATTGCGAATTGTCTTTTTTTTCAGTCCTGTTTCACAACCTCTGAGTGGTTTTATTGTTGCTGATACACCTGTAACTGCCAAAAGTGAGATTTTAAGTCCCATACGTTCCCCAGCTCATCCTGTTGTTGGTCCTCGAACGCCACCTTCTCCTACCAGCCCATTGAAGGATTTATCTGAAGGAGGCAAGAATAGTTCTAGTTTAAATGATTCGAAGTCAGAGCCCTCCGTTGAACCAAAATCATCGGATTCTGTTCTCGATACATCAAATGAAAATAAAACTCTATTATCAAGCACACCTATTTCCTGTGATGAAAATAAAGAAAATGCTGCTGTAGACACATCTTCTGATATCTTGAGTTCAGAAGTAGGTTCATCTCCATTAAATCATTCATCCACAGATGATAAAGTGGAGTCAAAAGATACTAGTAAGTCTAGTTCTGAGAAAGATACTTCTTATTCAGAAGCTAAATCATCTACTCCTACATCTGATGCTCCTGAATCCTCAAGTGAAAATTACTCAATTAAAACTCGTCAAAAAGGTGTGACTTCTACGAAGAAAAATAAACCTGCTAATCTAAAAAAGGCCACTAACAATAACCAAAATGATGAAGCGAATTCACCTCCAATTGCCAAGTTTAAACATCCGAGAGCTTGTAGAAAATCAACTGAAAAAATATCAGCTTCTCCATCTCCTGCAAAAACTGAACCAATTAAGGAGCCACCTAAAAAACGCTCAAAACCAGCAATAAAGCAGAAAGAGGTTCCTAGTCCTGAAAAGAACAAAACTGTGCAAAAGCCTTCAAGCAGCCCTAAGAAACCAACAAAAGCCAGTTTGAAACAAAAGGTTAAAGCCACTAAAGCAACATCTAAGACAAATACTGATGCGAAAAAGGCAGATCTGAAAAATAAGAAGAAAAAATTTGTTGTTGAAAATTTCCTTCAGAGTCCTACATCTATTAATGATACTAATTTATCTAGTTTACGTTCTCCTTCTCCTAGTCCAGACGATCTGCAAGCTTCAGAAATCAAAAAGCATTCTGACACAGTTGATAAACTAACGAATTCAAATCTCCCCACTGCTAAGAATGCTGTAAAGAGCAATTCTAAAGCAACAAATAAAGCAAAAGCTGGTGAAAAATTAAGAAGATCTGCTCGTTGTAGTGAGCGGGCTTCAAGTCTCAGTCAAAGTGAACCTCCAACTACCCCTAAACAAGGTGCTGAACACTCTTCCTCTTCAAGTGTATCTCAAGTGGAAACATCTACCCCTAAATCAAGTAGTGCCACGAACAAAAAGCCCCAGAAAAAGTTAGTCAAATCAAAATCTCATGTTGAGAATCTTCCAATTTCTATTGATCCTCCTTTGCAAATACTCTCTCCCATTCCTCATGAATCACCTCCAATTGCATCAACATCTGAATTAGGCAACCAGAAAAAAATCATGGTGTGCATTCCTTTGAGTAAATTGCTACGAATTCCTAGCGTTTTACATCTAATTCAAGAGCCTGATACTAGATTAACTTCTAAAAATCACTCTGTGAGTTCAGTGGAAGATGTTAAACAAAAGAAGGATCTGCCTTCAGAAAAATCTTCAAAAAATATTTCGAGCAAATGTTCGCAATCTAAAGACTTTAAAGATAAGCCTCGGACAGTTCAGGCTTCTAAGAATTGTAAAAAGAAATTATCTAACACTAAAAAAGATAATACTTCTAAACCAGTGTCTGAGAGTGCATCAAAAAATGCTTCCAGTGTAAATAAAAGTAGTGCTAAAGTTTCTGACAAAGTAATCTGTGATGTTGAAAATAAGCTTCCTAAAAAGAGAAAGTCTGAAGAGGATAGTAAACAGTTGTTGAAAAAGAAACCCAAGCTAACTTCTCGATCAACAGAAGAGAGAAAATCAAAAGAGTAAGTTCATTTAAACTTAAAAATATTTATATTTAATAAATATTTTATAAAAAATTTATATTTTAAGTAAAGTGTCAATAAAACATATTTTAAAAGGCAGACAAAGAAACCCTTATAAGGGAAATATCTATTACATTTATAAGGTTATGTAAAAGATTGTAAATGTCGTAATAGTGCAAGTTTATATTTAAATACAGTGAAACCTCGGCTAAACGGACACTCTTGGGAGCGATAAAATTATCTGCTTACGAGAATTGTCCGTTTATAGGAAAAGTACACAAATGACGAAGTTTAACTTCGTAATTTGTTTATAGAATAATTGCAATGATGTAGAGAAAGTTAAATAATCTACACTAACTATTTACAATGATATTTATTTAAATTTAAAAAAAAAATACCTTTTCAATACAAAAAGGTATGAAAACATTGGATAATTTTAGATGTAGCTACAGAAAAATGAGAATGTTTTTCCTATATACAAAGACATTTAAATTAGTCTTATGACACTAAATAGGCGCTTTGAGTCCTATGTCACTTCCTCAGAGGGTTTGATTATTAGGTTTACACCCCCTAACACCTCTCCCATCACTTGAAAGGAAACATGATAGTAAGTAAACCTCCCATTATGCACAGAAAAAAATAAAGCTGCAATGCATATCTGTGAAGCAGAAGGCTCTATAGAATTGTCATATCCAAAATTGACCATCTGTCAAATGTCTAAATAAATGTTTCATTTCTATGAGCACCTCAATGACTAGATTTCTGTTCTCTTTCTTAACTGTTAATGTAGTCTTAAATATAGTCCTGTGTTAAATATAGACTTTAAATTGATACTAAGTATAAAGGAATTTTTAGTGGGGATGAAAAATTGAGTGCATTTAAGGCATCATATCAGCTTGTGGCGTCTCACAGGGAGGATCTTCTAGATAAAAAGATCAAAAGATGCCCCTGTCTGAAATATTTCACATGAGCAGTATCATTTCCTCTCCTTTCTTTGCAAAGATAAAGGAAGATGAAAAGAGAATAATCGATTTTTTGGTAGGGAAATAGCTTAATATTTTTAGTTGTGGATAAGGTTAAAAAAAATTACAAGCTTTAAGAATGGTGGAAAGTTGCATATTTTTTCCCATAGATTTTGAAGTAGAAACAGTTTTTTTTATTCAAATTTAGAAAAATAGTTTGGCATGTAGAGATAGAAAGCGTTTCATGGCATGAGTGATTGTCCGTATCCAGTTACGGGAGTGTCTGATTTGTGGAGGATTTACATAATAGTTTGTTCATAGAAGATTCACAGGGAATTAAGAGTATGTCCATAATGAGAGGCATTCGTTTTGTAGGAGTGCTCATAACAGGAGGTTTCACTGTTGTTCCAAAATGTTTTTTATTTTTAACTTTCTCATCTTTCTTATGTAGGCAAATCAGTGGGATTAAAGTTGAATCAGCTGCTACTCAAAATGATGGTGGAGGAAAACCAAGGCCATTAGAACGATGTGATAGTGCAAGCAGCTTAAATTCATTGTGTAGCCAGAGAAGCTCAAAAGTACATATTATTAAATACTTATATAATAATGCATAAATTAATGCCAGTGTTATTTGAGGGAGGAACACTACTAGGATTGCTAAAAAACAATGTATTTTTCTTAAGCAAATTTATTAATTGACAAGCATTGTGGGCACAGCAAACAAAAACATATGTATCTGTACTATTTACATTTATCATTTTTTTAATTACATTTGAAGTAGTTAATTAGTTAATTAAAAAATTCCCAGAAACTAAATGCATGTATAGTCATTTATGTATAACTCTTTGAAAACATTTTCTAATAACAAATTCAATAATTGCCCCCCAATTTATATCCAGTTGTCAGTTTCATAAATTAAAATTTTTTTGGGTTGGGGAAGGAAATTCTTTTGACTGTAAATACTACCAAGATGAGCAAAAATTTGTAATTTTTTTCCTATTTTACGCGGGTGTTCTTTTTAAATTCTATTTCAAATACTATGTTTGCATTTATAAGCTATCAAAATAAGATTATATACAGGGTGTTTTGTATGTAATCCTTCTTTATATTCCCGCTTTATTATTCAATAAATAGAAATTCAACACATTTGTAAAAGTAGAAATTAAATATATAGGCAGCATATTAATTATTTAGTTGATCATAAGAAAACAAATTAAATCCAAGACTCTTTAATTCTCAGAAATCTCTGCTTGTTACCAGTGTTTATTTATTTTACCCTATTTAACTTAATAAGTTAATGGCTGTTTTTAAATTCATACTATTATGAATATTTTTTTGAATCACAACTTTGAGTTTAAAGTTTACTTTTTTAATTTAATGCAAAATCAAGAATTAAAATATGATATTAATTTGATAAAATTATTATTACATTTGAAACATCCTATCAATTTATTATGTCGGGGCTTATTAAATTTACATTTATCCACTCTTCATGTATTCTTTTTTTGTGGGTGTGACTCCTCAATGTATGCCCTCTTTTTTATAACTCATAAGCTGCCACTGATTTTATACCGTATCAAAGTATTATTTTGTATCAAAGAAATTCACTCAAACTGCTATGAATTAAATTCAGAGTAAAAATAAGCAACACTTTTCAACTTAGCTAAAATAACTAATTTTTTAAGTCACTTTATTGTCAGCAAAATAAAATATTAAGAAAATAATGTTTAAATATTGTGCAGAATCTGTGCAATATCAAACTGTTTGTTCAGCTGAATTCAATGAATGCCATTACTAATTTTTAAAATTTTTTTTTATGCAGTATATAGATGAAGCATTGAAAAAATCTTCGAATCAATATTAGAAATCACAGGAGTATAATTTAAACTATAATTTCATGTGTCTAGTTTCCCAATGCATTCAGGTTTTAAAATGTAAAAAATTCACCAAGAAATATTTTATTTCTGAAATTGTAATTTAAAATATATTTTTATCTTTTGATTTATGTTAACGGGAAATTTAAACATATTTTAAATTGTAAATTGTTTTAGTCCTCAAAAGAAAAGAAAGATTCTGTGATGCATGACTCAAAAAGACTTAAAACGTCTGTATCATCTGCAGTCCCTGTTAAACAAGAAATCAAGCAAGAAAAAGAGGATCGATCAAAATTGCACATAAAAAAGGAACCAATTTTACCTCTTGATAAATGTATGAAATCCAGGGATAAATCTTCTATTGCTGACATTGATTGTAAGGAAAAGGGAGATTCTTGGAGTGATAACCTTAACTCATCTAGTCAGGTTTGTATTGTTTTAAATGTGATAAAACTGACCTGTTATCTATGCACTTTGAGACAAAATATTATAGAAAACTGGTTTTTTAACATATAAATGCTCACAACATTATAAAATCAAATTCACAATTATTTTAAAATATGCTTATTTCAGAATTTCTGTACAAAATTAGGTTCTCAAGCTTAAATTCCTATAAAAATTGTGTGTTTCATAAAGGCATAGAAAAGTTCGATTTTGAAAATTAAAATGGTTCTTTTTACAAAGATTTCAAATATTGATTTAAGTTTATTGAGTTTTTTTCTAATTATTAGTTTTCTGTCAATTGTAAATATTTTGACTAATATGGATTGAGGTGAAAAGATGGCCAAATGGTCAAAGAAAAAAAAGACAAAATTCATGGCAATAACAAACAAAGTACCAAACTTACTGCCGCTAAAAATAAAAGATTATATTTTGAAAATGTTGATCAGTTAAAATATTTTAGAGCAATTATATAGTGAGAAAGGTATAAAAAACAGAAATAATAAGTTTTTAAAAAATTATCTACTATTTATTTATGTTGTATTTTAGCGCTAAAATAAGCAGTTAAAGTAATATAGCTTAAAATGTCTTTATCATATTTATCAATGGTTCTGTCTCTTTTTACTTATTAATTTCCTCCATTTTATCATCACTAATATATATAATTATTTTTCTCCAGTTTTTTTCTTTTGTTATTTTTACATGTAAAATGGAGTGTATTTTTGAATTCGATCCATTGATTTGACTGAAGAGGCAAGTTGCATGCTGGAGCAAATTAGGCTCAGTCATTTAAAAAAAAAAAAAAAAAAAAACACGAAATTTTTTTTCATGTAACAAAACTAGCAACTTAACTGTAACAAAACTAGCAAAACTTTTAATAAACTTTATCTTCTCTTATTTTTGATAAAACAAGATTTTAAGTTGCAATCATATAAGTTTGAGGAGTTAACAGCAATTAAATAAAATATTTAAGATCTTTCTCTCAAACCATTGAGATTTCATATTAATATGAGCAATTCCCATCATTAGCTTGTAAGATTTTTCATATTAGGCATTATGTAGTTTGGTACACTTTTCTCCGTGTTTAAAATATTTTGGGCTCTCCAATATGGAGGAGCATATATTTATTAATTTTAATGTGCATTATTTGCCAAATCAAGATATTTTTCAAATCAAGGAATTTTGTCGCAATAAGCTGTCATCTTTTATCTTCTAAGAGACAGAGAAATTTACAATCAGAAAATACCTCCAATCATTGTTTAAAATTGTAATTGTATACAAAGGTGCATTTGTTATAAATATTTTATAAGGTTTAATTTTCATGAAAAAAAATACACACAAATTTTTTTGTTATTAGTACAGCTTATAATAGTAACACAATCCAAATCCTAAACTTTCTTTCTATAATAAAATTATTGACATTCTTTAATGTAAAAAGAATTGATTCATTTTATAAAGACTGGGTTTTGTAAAGTCTCTTTAATAAATCAGTTTAGTTAAAATAAAGTTAATAAATGTAAACGGAATAAATGTAAACAGAAGTTAAATATAAGGTATAGTAAGTACTATATAGGTATAGTTTTTCTCTAAAATTTCACATATAGGCCAAAATTATTAAAAAAAAAAATTGTTTAAATTAACCTTTTCCAGGGGGCTGGGACAGCAGTTGTCACATCTGATCTTGGGTTCCACTGGTGGGCATGTGACACTTTCAGCGTAGGAATAGGGGAAGGAAACTCCACTGCAGTTAAGACAGAGGATCAAATTACAGGGGGGTGTGTTTTATTGTTTTAGTCTATACGAGAGGTCTCCCCTTTTTAAGTTAAGGGGAGAAAAGTTTCTTTACTTTCCCACCTACCTTCAAACATCTATTCCAAGTTTGCGTACTTGCTTGTTTGTATGCTGTTTTCTTAAGTCTTTTTTAGTCAGTTTCAAAGTTGCTTTTTTTTGTATACATTTTTTTTGTTCAAGCTGTAGGTCATTTTTTGAAGAAAAAAATTTTTTTTATTAAAAATTTATTCTCACGAATATTATCAAAAGTACATAAAAATATGGAATATCCAGAATCGAAAAGCGTTTTTTTAAGTGAATTTCTCAAATTGAAATAAAATATAAAAGCAATATATTTTACAGAAACTCAAATAAATAAAGCTTTTTTAGGTTCTGTTTTAATTTCGTTTTATAAAAATATTTAATGGATATATTGATTATAATTGCTGCATGTTGCTATTAATATTATTTTGATTATAATTGCTGCAGTTTTTGTGAATTTTTTTTTTTAAATAAAAGTTTTAAAAGCAATTCCTATTTATTTACATTGCATAAAATATGACCCTCAACTAATATTTTACTATGAAGAATACATTTTTTGTATATATTTAATGCAATAAACATTACTTTTTCCTACAGCAATAATTTCAAAATATCAATATCTTCGTTATTCAAAACAAATTGAAATAAAATTTTTAAAAAAAATCTTATTATTTACATAACATATAATATGACCCTTAAGTAATAATTTACAATGAAGAAAGCATATTTTGTATATATTTAATGTAATAAGCATTACTTTTTCCTACAACAATAATTTCCAAAATATCAATATCTTCGTTATTCAAAACAGCTATTTTCATAAAAGTTTTAAAAACATTTCCAATTTATTAACATAACATATAATATGACCCTCAACTAATATTTTACTATGAATAATACATTTTTTGTATATATTTAATATAACAAGCATTACTTCTTCCTACAACAATAACTTCAAAATATCAATATCTTCGTTATTCAAAACAAGAATTGAAATAAAAGTTTTTAAAAAAATTCTTTTTATTTACATAACAATGTCCCTTAAGTAATAATTTAAAATGAAGAAAGCATTTTTGTATATATTTAATATAATAAGCATTACTTTTTACCACAACAATAATTTCCAAAATATCAATTATCAAAACAGGAATTCGTTATTCAAAACAGGAATTTTAGTAAAAGCTTTAAAAACATTTCCTATTTATTAACATGACACATAATATTACCCTCAACTAATATTTTACTATGAATAATACATTTTTTGTATTTATTTAATATAATAAACATTACTTTTTCCTACAACAATAATTTCAAAATATCAATATCTTCGTTATTCAAAACAAATCGAAATAAAAGTTTAAAAAAAAATCTTATTATTTACATAACATAATATGACCCTTAAGTAATAATTTACAATAAGGAAAGCATTTTTTGTATATATTTAATATAATAAACATTACTTTTTACCACAGCAATAATTTCTAAAATATCAATATCTTCATTATTCAAAGCAAGAATTTTAATAAAAGTTTAAAAAAAATTCCTATTTAATAACATTACATATAATATGACCCTCAACTAATATTTTACTACGAAGAATACATTTTTTGTATATATTTAATGTAATAAGCATTACTTTTTCCTACAACAATAATTTCTAAAATATCAATATCTTCGTTATTCAAAACAGGAATGTTAATAAAAGTTTTAAAAACATTTCCTATTTATTAACATAACATATAATAATAATGAAAAAAAAAACTTTCTAAATAACATTTAATAGAAATTTAAAAAATTCAATAAAATTACTCAGATGGTGGAGATTTTAATTGTTAATATAGTTTAGAATAGAATATGGATATTGACTTTGTAATCATTAGTTTTCTTTATTTTTATTTGTCATAAACGGCAAATATATATACAGTGGAGCATCGTTTATACGACGATCACTTATACGACGTTTACATTTATACGACGTTTTAGTGTGGTCCCAAATCATTCCTATTCATTTTAATGTAAAAATATATCGTTTATACGACGCACAGAATCGGTTATACGTCGATTTTTAGATTTTGTTCTTTATTTAATTTTTTATTGTGTATTTTAAAAAAGGGCGGAATTTGCCAACATGAATGATGCAGAAAAGGGTGTCAACAAGAATGCTTGGATGATGACCGTAATTTTTACTAGATGACTGAAAAAACTAGACAATGTTATGAAGAGGAAAAAACGAAAAATTGCTCTATTCATCGACCAATGTCCAGCGCACCCATCGATACTAATTATTTTGGAAAATCTAAAAGCTCTCTTTTTTCCTGCAAATTGCACAAGTGCGCTTCAGCCATTAGATTTGGCCGAGATTAGAAATTTAAAATTGCATCATAGAAAGCAGTAACTTCAACTCGCTATTCAAAGCATTGTAGAGAATAATAGCAAGAAAATATAATTAAAGTTAACATACATTCAAATGGCTCACTGCAATTTTTCTCCTTTGGTTATTTGTTTGTTTTGCTTTGTCTAATTTAGAAATTTATGTAAATTAACACGTTAAACATTAAAATTAATTGAAAACAGAGTTAGTTTCAGTTTTAGAAGTAAAAATCGATTATACGACGTTATCGTTTATACGACGTTTTTCGGTGGTCCCTTCGGCGTCGTATAAACGATGCTCCACTGTATATATATATATATATATATATATGCGTGCATAATTTTTTTATAGCTAGCGTAATGAATAGTTTTCTAAAACTGTGATTAGGTTTATTTGTTTTTTATAGAATTTAAAACAATAAAATGAGAAAATTGTGACACACCGCACTAATTCTGACTGTTTGTAAAACACTATAAATAGTCAACATGTGACATTTGGAATGTAGTTTTTTAAGCTGAATTGTATAAAACCACCAGAGAAGTTTTCCCGCGCCTTTTTAGTTGACAAAAAAATGGGAATTCTCCACCAGTGGTATTTCTATTATCCCTAACCGGGGTGGTGTAAAAGACAGCAAATGGTGTTTAGAATAACAGAGGGGGAATAAAACTCTCGGGGATGTTTAACACCCATCATTTGACTTGTTTTAGGGATTAGCGGTTCCCTTTCTTGAATTCATCCCCCGGTCTCAGAAAGAGCCCACCAGAGGATCTATATTTCTTATTTTTGCTCCCACGTGAAAAGGTTAACTACTTGATAAATTTTATAATGAAAGTTTATTTAAAGTATTGATAAAAATACATTTTATTCATATTTATTTAGTTTATACATCTCTTCTCCCTTCGATGAATTATGCTTTCAATAAGCGTTTATTAAAAAACTAACATAAATTTGTGGCAAAGTTTCACATTAGGAATCATATTAAAATATCTAGAATGGTATTTCATTGATAATCAAGCACTATGGGCATTTAATTAGTGAATGAATAATCAAAATAGATTTATGTATTTTTGTTATAGTTGTTAAATTTGTTTAATCTAATAAGGAAAGAAAAGTGTAACTTAACTGACTTAAATTTTTAGAAAAATTCCATGATTTATTTTCCTAATTGGCTATTAAGGAAAAATTTATAATTTGAAAAGGAAGGCACTCGCTAATCAAGCTGAATTTTTTTATTCAGTTGGTTATTTTAGTTTTCAAATTATCTATATTCCTTTTTGCCTTTTTCTCATTGGTTGCAGATTTATAAAAATTGGGTAAAGAAAAAAAAACAAATAAATAAAAACAAATAAATAAATGAAGAATGAATAAAATAAAGAGTGACAGAAATTTTACCCATCTCACGAGTAATAATACAGTTGGACAGATCACATTTAAGATACTTATAAACAAACATAGTTTCAATCAATTTCTTTTTTGAATTTTAATTTGACAAATCAATTATTATTTTTTAAAAAAAGTGTGTAAAATGTAGAGTTCTGCAGAAACTTTGAAATTTGTTACTTAAAACAATATAATTTTTTGTCAAGTTTTAAATCTAACTTTTTAGTTTCGCATATTAAGGTTTCTGATTAAAGAAAAAAGCTTAAATTAACTTTTTATAGTTAACAATATTTGTTGTATATAGGATGAATAAATTTGGTTTATATATTTTGTTTACTTGCATTTTTGAACTCTGAACTTCATAATCATTTTGAAATAGACAAAATAAATATAAATATGGTTTCCAAAATTAAAAAAAAACTTCTAAAGAAGGAAAAAATTAGATCAATTGGTTACGACACTTCGGGTACTTTCCTTATTAGTCGCAATAAAAAAAATTCAAAATATTCATTGTTTCTTAGAAAACAAGCTTTCAAAAAATGCATATCATAGATTTGTCTGAAAAATATTGAAAATCTCGTAATCATTATAGAGCAATCGACATAATTTACTTAGAAATTAAAATAGCAATTTGTCAAATGAATAATGCACAAAATTATTTAAAACACAATTTTTTTCATATTTTACTTTTTAAGGTCTAAAGCTAAAAAATCTTTTTAAAAGCTTAAAAAATCATTTCCTTGTTTTTTACATTTAAAAGTCATTTTTTTTTTCTTAAAAAATTTTGGTTCATATTCTAATTTTTGTTTAAAAACACTTTTAGTGTATTAGCTTAATATATAAATATGTGTAGACATTGGTGTCTAAGCGTCAGTATTAATTGTTTACATCATTGTATTAATTTTTAGTATTGTCATTGGGATGATATTTGCAAAGAGGATTCTAAAGGACCTTTAGAAAGTATCTTAGATTCCTCAATGAATTGGGATCACTTGTCTTTCGATATGCATAAAGAATTAAAAGAATCTTCTGGTCTTAAAATGTAAGTATTTTAACAATTTATATTTTGTTGTAAGAAAAAAAATTATTTAAAATTGTTTGATGTTTTAAAATTATTCTAACAGTTAAATCTAATTTTTGCTTCCAAATTTCTATGAATTTGAAAATTACTAATATCAAAGAATGTAAAATTAAAAGGATAAAAAATCAATCTTTACCTTTTGTTTAAATTTAACTTGTAGAACTTTCATCTACCATTTCTCTGCTCTATAATATACAGAGTATAAAATGATACGACAACGTCGCCAAACTTTTATTAATAATTTTGAAGAAATATTTTCAAGGGATTTTGCATTAATTTATTGAATCTTTTGCAAATAGTTTTGCTTCAAGTTTAAAACTTTGTGTATGTTATATTTGCAGAGTAACCAATTGCATATTAATAGCAGCTTTGATTTATTATTGCATACCGTTTATACTCTCTGTAAATTTGAATTGGTTATAGTTTAATATCTTTAACAAAAATGTAAATTTAATAATAAAATCTCCAATTAGTAGAAGTTGACCATTTAAGATATGTTAATAAATTAGTACCAATTACTATTTATTGACGAAATGAGTTAGTGATAAGGACATTTTTGGTAAGCTTTTTATTTTGGACATTGGTCAAAATGCGAGTTTTAGAAAATGATATAGCTGAAGATTTGCGGATGAAAAAATTTGACAAAGATCAAAATTCATTTTCATAAAAAATTAAAGAAACTTAAAATCTGTGTTTGAAAAAAAGGACAAAAATTAAAATGCGTATCTATGAAATGGACATAATTTAAAATGCAATGTTTGAAAAATGGGTATAGCTTAAACTGTGTTTTAATAATTCTGGACATCGCTCTAAATTCACTCTTTCAATGTTAAACAATATACCAATTTTTTTTTACACTTTTGAGCACTTAAATAACTTTTGATCTAATAATTAGATTTTCATGTACAGTGAGCAAAATAAAAAAGAAACACCATGAATAACTTTTGACTTAATAATAGGATTTTCAGTAACTTGGACTCAAACATAATGATTTACTTTTTTAAAATTAATTTTTGGCAAGGTTTTTAAAAATATGTAATAAGGGTAGCAATTACAAAACACCTGGTATAAAATAACTTGCAAGATTAAAATTCCAGTGCTAATATTACTGTTTTAAGATGCTATGATCCATGGAGCCATAGATAAGTGTCCCATTCGTTCATAATTTTGTTGTTTTTAATGTCAGTTACCAAAGACCAGCAAGCATGCACGGTGAAACTATGCAAGCTTTAAGGCAGAGGGTTCCTTTTTTTGTTTTTCAATGACTCCATTTATGGTCAAGAACACAACTGAAGCCACACACATGTCACAGTTTGTTTATAAGGCAGACCATTCGACATCCATTTTTTCATCCATAGATCGTAATTTTGACCAGAGAATGATCAATCTATTATTAAGTCCCTCCAGAGAAATTGATTTGTTATGGGAACATGAAGGACTTCGTAACCCAACAGATTCAATGAGCACCAGTCACCATTTATTTCATGGGGAGTCTTTGGCTGTTGGGGATCGAACTCATGACGTCTTGGACATGGGCCCAATGCCCTACCAACCAGACTATCCCAACCTTCCAAAATTATACCTTGAGAATGTTTTATCGATCACGAAAGCTCGTGCCCATGATTGCAAGACCTAGAAATAAAACAAAAACATTTTAACTACAAAATTAATTAATTACCTTTTACAAAATGTATATATTTGTCATTGTGTTGAAAAAATTTACTTTTGAGATTTTTTTTTTTATTTATTAATATTTTTTTTTTTGTTGCTGATCTAAAGCACAAACCTCGATAAGTTCTATCCATCTTTTTAAATATTACTAAAAATAACTTTCGTGATTATTTTTCGTTTTTTTTCTTCATTTTTTTGTAAAAACAGAACAAAATGTATTTTGGACCCATAATAGAGTCTGTATCGAAAAGTATTATTAGTGAAATAAAAAAACCTTTACAAAGCATTTAGCTATATTTGCAATTTAACTTTAAAGGCAAATACTCAAGCTTTTACTCCAATTCCATTTGCAATACAATATTGCATAATGTTTGCTATTGTGTTGGAAACCATGGTAATTTGTATGTGCAAAATAAATAAATAAAAATAATAAAATAAATCTATAAACAGGTTAAAATGTTGGAGCCTGTACTACAAATTCTTCTTTTTCCAATTGGAAAACCCTTTTTCAAAAATAATGTAAACTAACTGTTTTATGATAAAAGGTTATTTCTGTTAAACTTTCAATTTTTTTTAAAACCTCTAAAAAATTATTTTTTTAAAAGTTTTGGTGCTTTGCAAAGTGCATACCAAATTTAAGCTCAGAAGTTCTTGAACATTGATTTACAATTAAAATAGAGCATGGATTTTTGCTTTTATATTAATTCTTTTTCCTTATTTTGACACAAGTTACAACAATCCCTAGGTAAAAAGGAGATTGATAAAACATTTCCAATATTATTTTACTTCAATTTTTTCAAGTTTCTGTACTTGGGAATGTATAAACTGTATTCTATTCTGTAATTAAATGGAGTTATGTAATAACATCTCTTGGCTGGATTGTCACCTATGTAGAGAAGGAATGTGCATTATCTATCTGGGATTGCTGAAATATATTATGATATTCTACGTCATAAGTAAATCCTTATTATGTTCTATAAATTTATTTTATTTTAATTTTATCAAAATTTTTGGTTATTAATATTTACAATTCTTTAAACAAAATATAATGAAATGAAGTATTTCAAGTCTTTACTATAGATACGACTATACTTTCTGGCACCTCTATTAATTTCCACAATTGTAAGCCTATAAACCAAGTATAAAGGATTTGCTTCATATGCTTAAATTGTGTAACTTTAAGTATGCATATTATTAAGTGTGAACAACATTTAAGCGACAAAAGGCGCTACTAAAGCGTACTTCCTGCGAATAAACTTGACTCTGTTTTGATGGGTTCAGATTTTTGACCTTCAGCATGTGATGAGGTTAACCGCATTCTGGAAAATATTATTAAAATAATAAGAGCAGTCAAAAGTTTTTCTTTAATGTAGTTTTTAGATTTTGTATTTGTAACTTTAGCATTTATTGAAAGGTTAGTTTGTTATATGACAATTTTTAAATTTGTCATATATGAATAGAAAAAGCAATTTCATTCAAAAAAATTTTTAATAATTACTAGTTATAATTTTTTTTTAATAAATCTAATAATGACGAAAAGCATATTTTTAAATATTTATTTCTCAAGGGTTTCTAGCTATTCAATTGAGTTTCATAACAGTTTTAGATTTGGGTGTTTAAAATTTTTTAGCTTGTCATGAAAAAATGATTTTCTATGCTTTATAAATAAAAATTCTTTTCTTGAAATATTTGAATATTGTATTATTGGACATATAAGTTTTAATGTATGATATTCTTTTAACTTAACTGCTCTATTCCTATTTGTAGGCTAACTGATCAAGGTCCCATTATGCCAATGGATTACTACTGGACAGAAGGAAGGAAAATGAAGAAAATGGCTGAACTGGAGGTAAATAATAACAAAAAGTGATTTTATGTAAATCTTAAACAGAACTTGCTGCAAAAGTCACTAGATAATTGTTATTGATAAAGGAAATCGAATATCTAATGAATAATTAACGTAACCCCCTTTGTCTAAAAAATTGTGAGATTTGTTTTACTCAAATTTTTGTTAGCTTGTGAGTTTCAACACTTTAATGCAATAGATTAGAAATAAGCGAATGAAATAATAGTGATATTGAAAACTGAATTTGAAAGTGAAGTATTTAATTTACATTTCAATGAAAGTTTATTATTAATTTTAAATGCACAATGCAAAATTAGTTCATTATTTTTCTACCTCTGCAATAACAACAAAAAACGGCATTTGATTTATAATTAAAAGTTTCTAATGTTTCATTGCACACAATAAAATTTTAGACTACAAAATGATACATTATATTATTAAAAGAAAATGGTATGCAACTATATTTTATGCATTCAACTCATATACTACGAATAAAATTTGTTTTGTTGTGTGTTCACTTGCAATTAAAAAAAAACATTTTATTTCTCTATACATTGTAGAAAGATCCATTTCAACAAGCTGTTAAATTTTTTGAAGCTGCTGTTTTGTATGTTTTAACTAGTCAACAAAAGGAAGAAAACAGCAAAAATCCTGATTCTGTTTACCAGTTTTATTATGAAACCTTGCAATTCACTTCGTAAGTATTTTTTTTTTGTTAATCAGTTTGCATGTTAGTGTGCACGTATAACAACATGTGGAAAAGAACCTAAAAATTATTTCATTTAGAACCTGTGAGTTTCTGTAAAATTTTCTATTTTGAGTCTCGGAGTTCTTAAAAAATCTTTTGTTTTGAAATCCCTAAAAGAACCATAATATTACACTGTTTGTATGCATTGTTTTTTTTAACACACCTATTTTTATTTCTTTGTTTTCTCAACCATATCTAATATTCAAAAAATAATGTGAGTAAAGCAGATTATCTGGATAATATACTAATCAGCAAAAACTTCAAAGTTTCAATATTGTAACATGGGATGATTATTTATATATATANTATGTGTGTGTGTGTGTATATATATATATATATATATATTTGAATTTTCGAAAATGAATGGAAATGTTCTGCAGTCTTGTACAATGTAGAGATGCATTTAGTGTTGAAGTACTAAAAAGGCTTAAACCAGCCAAAATATGAAGTCTTTCTGAGAGGATTATTTTATACCATCACTAAAAACTTTACCTGTTCTTTAATTTTTTGCATTGTAAATATAAGCATTAAAAATGCAGCTTATCATTGTTTCACCTTTAACATGTAATCCATTGTACATTTCTTTATGAAAATTAAGATTTTTATTTGACTTTTAATTTAACAAATTTCCTTTATTTAGAATGATGTTAGCTAAAATTAAGAAGCTACAGTCTTGTCCTGGTAGTACTGAGTTTAAACTTTTAATATTGTGGTAAGTGTTTTTATTCGTTACTAGCTGATATTATTTTTAGTTCTAGTAATTTTAGTTCTAGTAATCTTTTAAAATAATCTTTTTACAATTTTTATAAATTTTTTAGCTTGAAGTGCCAGTCTTTATTGAATGTGAAACTTTACAGCTTAAAAATAAAAGAAATCAAAGAGCAGCTGGAGTGTGTTTCAGATTTTTTCAGAGCAGTAAGTTTCATAAAGATTGCTTAGTTTTCAGTTCTATCTTTTATTTGTACAGTGTTATTGTGTTTGTAATATTCCTGCCATAGAATTACTTTGTTCAAAGAATTTCATTATTGCTGCGCCACTTTATTGTGTGATTTACTGTGGATTGCTGCATAGCTAGAGAAATTTTATTGACACTTGGAAGTCATGGAGGTAAAACATTTTTCACGATCCTCTACAAAATGTCTTTACTGAAGGGAAAAGGTAGCAGAGATTTTTCTAGCCCAAAGAAGATTCAATGTTATGCTCTGAAGGAAGAAATGAATAGTGACTTGGATTTAATGCCAGAGGAATTAATTCCAATTGAGGAAAGGAATTCCATACTGAGTCACTTATAAGAAAACATCAGCAGGACCACTTCACATTCTCAAATCTACGAAATGAATTCACTTGAAGTGGAAGCATCTCTAAATCTATGAATGAGAAAGAAAAACTCAAACACTTCTATCTCTTTAAATATAAGAGTAAAATCTTCGGAAAACTTAAAAGAAATAATATCTATGGATTATAGAAAGAGAATAAAACAATATGCTTATGGCTATTCCATGCTTCATTATTGCCTGTCAGTTGCCATCGTAGTAATTATAGACAACACAAAGAACAAAAGTTCTGAAAAGATATTTAGTGTAATGCTAAGCAATTATTGGATACAAGCTCGTACTGCATTTGTTTGTAATTTTATTAGTGGGATATTAATCAGCCATAGCAATGGTAATGTACTCCTTAACATTTCTCTATCAGAGGTGGGATCCTTAATCAGCCATAGCAATGGTAATGTACTTCTTAACATTTCTCTATCAGAGGTGGGATCCTTAATCCATCTTTCTAGAAGCAAAAATATTATTTAGAAAAAGACTTTTTACACACTATGATTAATGGCACTGAATTTGAAACCAATCAACACTCTCCATCAAATCAATCTACACATATAGTGCTTTCGTAATGGTTTTAAAAACAACAGGTTGACAAACTAAAAAACTAACTGTAAAAAAAATAGTACTTTATTTAAATTTTTGAATTTTTAAAAACGAATTTTCTTAAATGTTTGAATTTTTATAAATGTATTAACGCTCAAATCAAATATTGGGTTATTAATTTAGTTTGATGTAAGAAGTTTTTAAATAATTAAAAAATAATTATAATTTCTTTATAGTTTTTCAATAGTTTAATATTATTTCTTTTATTATAGCATTGTTCTTCTTCCATTGATGCCCCAAATCCAAATCTGCCCTCTCTTCACCTATCAAGAATATCAAGTCTTTCAACAGTTTCTTCTCCGCATTCTGTCATCCCACCTTCTCCTAACAGTGTTAGTTCTCAAACTAGTGGCTATGTAAGTGGAGATGTTGGCAGCAATATTATAAAAAATACAGTTTGTGTTCCTCAGTATATGCTGGATACTATACATCGACAACATAGTCATTTGAAAAATCTTCACATGGGACATGATCTATGGGAACAAGCAGATATGTATATGACGCGAAGTAATCTGAAAGGTGAGATTTTACTGTGTTTTAAATTTCTAATTATTTTTTTTTATGTTCTTATTTAAAGCATTTGGGCTTATGGACGAGTATAATGTACTCCTTTAATATTTTTACAAGTTAGTTCCTTTTTTCTTTTAATCGTCTTAAGGAATTTAACTAAAAGATTCATTAGGAGGGGTATATTCACCTTTTTTATATTTAAATTTTATATAATAATTTTCTGTAATTGTATCTTTATTGTATGTTAATTTATTAACTTTGAATTCTTTTCTCAATTTATAGTGGAAGTTTTTTATTTAAAAAATGTATTCAAATTTCATTTTAAGGTATGAATCTCTTTGCTGAAAAAAAAATAGCAACTTTTCTAGGATTGATCTTTAATAATTTATGAATTAATTAAAAAATATTCATACTGTAGCATCAACCCTCTACCAAACCTACAAATTTTATTTCTTATTTCACTTCTGATGAAAAATAAATATTTTCGGCTTAAGTGGTTCTATGTATCCATTGCATCTTCATTGTGTGAATATAATTTAGTGAGTGATTATAATTTAATATTAGAGTAGAATTTTTTAAAATATTAATAATAAAAATTGTGTTTATAATTATATTTTTGTGTTATGTGTCTGTGCATGCCTTGGTTCCTGGTAGCTTGAAATTATGCATTTTCTGAGACCACTGTTTATTTCTATAGTTTTAATTTTATCTTAATACAAATGTGTAGAGTATTGTACATTTTTTTATTGAAATACTTCTGAAAGTAAGTCATTAAAGTATTTAATACTTCTGATTGAGACTAAAAAGACAAAATAAATTAGTTATAGAAGAGGAAATATACTAGTTTTTCCAACTATGTCAAATAAATAAATTGTATACCTCAGCTATTAAATTTTTTTAAAATTTTATTTAAAGTTACAGATTTATTAAAAGTTTTATTAAGCTTAATGATAACCATTTAGTAAAAAATTTAGAACAGCAAAATAAATTGACATTTATTTTTTCATTAGCGTCCTGAATATAAAATCTTATATGCTTCTTATTGTGTTAAGTCAATGAAAAAAACCCACTTAAAATTAATAATGATGTTACTTAATGCAGTGTTTATGATAATTATGCTCCTAAGTGTTGCTAATGGGAGTGAATGAAAATTTTCTTAACTTGAAAAATTGGTAAAATTTTAGTTTGTTACTATATAGTCAATTTTTGAATGTTTAGGTGTATTCTTAAAATTTCAGTGGATTAATTAGATTTTTTATTTATGTATTTTTTTGCAATGACAGTTGTTAAAATTTTTAAACTGTATTATTTTTCAGAATTTTTTAAAGAAGTGGCTGACCAATCTGAGCCTTTAACACTTCATAGCACTATAAAAGAGCTGGTGAGTTACATGCAGAAAGGTATTGGCCTTGTCAAAAATTACTTACGCTAGCATTCCGAGGATGATTGAAATTCTTTTAACAACCAGGTGTTTAGAGACTGATACTGAAATATGTTGCAATATTAATTTAGGATGGCTGCAATATTGTTGAATGTATAAGCTTATTTAAAGTTTATTTAATTCACTTACCATTTAAAAATAAGTATAAATCTATTGTGAAAATTGAAAATATTGTTATTGTAAAACTTCTGTTAAAACTGCCTGGTTGCACTGAATTTGAAGATTATATTTACCTACATAAATGCATTAGTGTATGCATGTAGGTATTTCAAATTTATATCATGTATATATTTTTGTATATAGATTTCAGATACTTATTGAGTACTTTGTGATCACATTGTTTCCATGTATATGTGTGAAAATGCCAATTCTTTTTTTTTCAAATTATTTGCCCCAAGTGATGGTGTGTAAAGTGCATTATTGTATTTTTTTTTGTTTTTATGCTTAGGGCAAAAATTTTGTCTTCATGTGATCATATGTATTAAATTCGTGAAATGTACTTGCATTCAAAATTTATTTAATGTTACTAGAATATAGTTAAACTCTTCATAGTTGTATTTGCCATGCAGTGTTGTAGCAAAATTTGTTAATCTGTGCTTGTTTTATGTCAAATTACCAAACTGTGTAATATTTTGGCATGGTTGAAGAAATGAACTTTTCTGTTATACACTCTGTTAATTTTGAGACATTGTTATAATAAAATCAAAGCTTTTAGCTATCTCCATTGCATCTTAAAATCATTATTGTCAATGTTTGATAAACTGTATTGAAAGTTTTCTAAAGCTTTCAAATGCTGTTTCAGCGTTTGGAATAATTATATAAGCTTAATTTATTTTTTACACTTTTTAAATATTGCATGTTTTCTTCTAAAAAAATAAATATTGGAGTTTGTTGTATGCATTTATGTATATTTATTAATGTTATTATATCAAAACTCAATTTACTCAAATTTTCCTTTTCTATCATCTACACTCAGTTAATTTGTTTTATTATTTGAGTTAAATTTGAAGAGCAATAATTTATACTTTTGCAATAACGGTTTTATTACCAGAAAATTAAGACATATGTACTTAAATAATTTTTGTTTTTGATGATTAATTATTATAAAAAAAGAACAAACATTAACTAAAAGTCATTACAATTAAAGAGAATTACTACAGTGACAAGATGTTAACTTCTTAAATTAAATTATAAAAATTATAAAAACAAGGTATTAGACATAATTTTAATGAACACTACATTTGTGCCATTTTGTAGCTATGTCATAGTGAGGTTTCAATTTATCGTAAAATTTGAGTAGTTGAGTAAAACTTATATTTATGTTGAGGATATTAAATTTAAATCTGACTTATTTTTTCCCTTTGATTTCTTTTTGCTTTATTTCATTTTGAATACATTCTTTATACTTCTGAGAATAGTACTCAGCTCTATATACTCCTTCTGTTTGTTAACAGTTATTCAAGCTTGTTTAATTTTGTTATGTCCCTTTTGTTAAAAAGGATTTCATTCCATGTTATTAAAAATAAATTTTCTTTATCAAACTCAAATGTTTGTTGCAATTGTTTGCTCTAAAGCAGTAATCTGTTCATGAGTATTTAATAGATTTTCTATTTATGGTGATGAGAGATTATATTTTTCAAGAAGTTTGAATGTGTTAAAACTTTTTTGCAATATAAATTTATTGAAATTTTTCTGAGTTGTTTGTGCTGTAATACGTATTTGAGCTAGTTTTTTGCTCAATTTTTTTGTTGTCTTATCTATGAGCGACTTATATATATATTTATATTTATGATTATTTAAGTTGGCAGCTGTTTCCGAGCATAAATATGCTTTTTTCCATGATTAACAGTGCTTTGCTTAAAATTTAACCTTTCAAGTTGTATTTGGTTGTGCATTTTTTTATGTAGAAACAGTGCATGCATGAATAATATTTACTTTTTTTTTATAAAGTGATTTAAAATATTTTATGAATATTTAAGTTTATAATCTTATATTTGGAAGTCCAGTTATAATTTATTATAAAACATATTTATTTATGCAAATATTTCAATAGAAAGTTGTTTGTTGATCATAACTTTTGCATTTTAATTTTCGATTTTGAAATATTTTATTTTTAGAATTTAACTATTTCAATTATTATCTTCTTTCAATCTTAATACCTCTCATATTTGCTCAACTAATAAGTTTTATGAGACAAATAAATTATCATGGTTATTTAACTTTATTAAGTTAAATAATTAAAACTATTTATTTCTACTTAATTTTCACATTATTCCTCTATGCATATGCTAATTATTTCCAAATATTTTAGAATTGCGCTAAATTGATTCTCAGCCTTTTTTGTCAATTTTTAATAATAAATGTTTACAAGGTATCCATTGAAACAAAAATAATTTTATATTTGTAACATTTTGTGGTGTTCCTGCAAAAATATTGTGGCGTTATGGAGTTTTGCAGATAACACTTTAAATTATGACATTATTATCTAGATCTGAGTTTCGATTATTAGTTTTAATACTTTTTATGCCTTTTAAATTTTGTCTCTTTTATAAATTATAAAATTAATTCTTTTTAGCGTGGTCTTTTACTGAAATGTCCTACCATATGGAAATGGTGGTAAAACGTGAAATTTATCACTTAATTTTTCAGATTTTAGTATTTTCAGATTTAGAGCATTAGTTTTGGCATTTTGTTATTTTTTTTCTTGTTATAAAATATTACATTTTTAAAATATTTTTTTTTTCACAGAAAGCAGGTCATAACATGAAAAACTCATCAGTATTAGAATTTTACCTAGATTGTTATAACTTGCTAATCACATCAGTTTTGGCTGAAAATTAGTACTTTAAAAATAGTGTTTAAAATACAAATTACTTTTATATGCATTGACTGTTGAAAATCATTGCTTTCTTATGTAACTTTACAAATACTAATACGTAAAATTAATTTTTTCACTGAATTTAATTTTTTCAACTTTTTTAATTCAGATAAAATTGGCAAATTTTAATCTTGTTTTACTAAAATAAATATAAGTTTCAGCCTTTTTGAGAATCAAGAACAGAACTTACTAATATTAATAAATTATAGCTGAACTTCAATATTTCTCCAAATGTATTCAAGAAATTTTTGTTAAAAATTAATTTATAGTAAGGTATTCTACTAAAATGTTTGCAAATTTAGAGCTGCTTTAAAATGTGGCTTATTTAAAATAAGAACCCAATGCTTTTAGTTATACTTGGGTATTTTATATTTATTTCAGATTTATTTCAAAAGTTTGATAGTTTTACTATGTAAATACAAATAGAAATATTTTATAGGTTTGATGCTAGTTATCACGTTAAAACTCATTAAAATTTGACATGGTGAATTAATAAAATTTTTGCAAAATCTTATAAAGAAATCATAAATTTATAGAAATTTAAATAAAAATGTTGCTGCAATAGTCAGTCGTACTCGTGTCTTAATGTGTTTAGTTTTGTCAAGTTATTAAAATACAATGCTGAAGCGCTTTCAAATTAGTATGTTAATTTATAACTTAAATATGTAGACTTTTCTCTATATTAAATAAATTTCTAGCAAAAAGTTTAGCTTTTATAAGATAGAAATTTCTAAAACGAATATTTTTGGAAACTTGGTGCAAGTGTTGCTTTGTCACACAAAAAGGTTAGGTTTTCTTAAATTATATAAGATATTTTTATAGGTATGGTATTTTTGTGGGAAAATTTTATTTGATGTAGATGAGAAGCATGTAAATAAATTTAGCTTAATTATATTGTATGGAATTCTGAATCTAACAAATTTTATCATAGTTCTAAATTATTCAATTGCTTATAAAATTTATAATTTGATTTTAAAGTAGATAAAAAAATAATCTGAAATTCTTTTCACAAACTATTTTGACATATATTGAGTTTTCAATTTAAACTATTTTTCACACACATTTATAATAGTTAAACATTTATTCGTGCCTTTTTTTTTAAATGTATTTGAATGATATCAGTTTCATGTAAATGAATTACTAAACTTTAAATTACATATTAATTTTTTTATTTGTCATCATTTTTGGTTGTGAAGGAGGTACATTATATATTATTTTTCATTAATAATGTTTAGTATGAATTTATGTAACACATTTTTAAATTTCATTTCGGATTTACACCCTTTTAAAAACTTATTAAGACTTTCTATACAGTTGTATGAAATTTATTAATGTATTTCATTTTGTTCCTTTATATATATATNTATATATATATATATAATATACAACAATTTTACAAAATAACATTTCTGAAAATTGAGTCTGATTAGCCATTTTTGATTTTGAATAAAAAATCCATTTAAGATAGAAATATTTTCTCCTCCTAATTTATTTGAGGGTGCTCAATAGACCTTAAGTAACATTTTTGTGAGTTGATAGCCTTTTTCTAGATGTGAAATATTTTTGTTACTTTAGCTAGAATTTACTTCAGGAACTTAAATTTTTAAAAATAAAAGCAAAGCTTATACAATTATTGATGATTGGTTGTTTATGCACTTTTTATTCAATTTCTATAAAAATATTTATTATATATCATATGCGCAGGATGTATTTGTTATTGAAAAGGAAAGAAATAATAAATAGGAACAAAAGTTAAAAATTCTATTTTAGTTGTCATTTAGTATATTTTATTAACTTTTTTTTAAAGAGGTTACTGATATTTTTACTTTAAAGCTAGGCTGATTTGTCCTAAATGGCAATCTATTTTGACTAGAAGCTTAGTATTTATAAAGGCATCTTTATAGAGTTTGTTGAAATCATAATTCACAATTATGTAGTTTCAAAACTTTAAGAAATTGCTATTTTAGCTGTGACTACTTGCATGCTCTTATCTGTTTTACACTGGATTTTATAGATGAGGAAGCTTGTACTTAATTTAGAAATGTGATGAATGTAATAGTTTTTTTTAAAAATTTCTTTTAAGCTGATAAAATTAATAAAAGCATTCAAAATTTTTTATTTGTAGGCAAGAATGTTTATACATTTTGTTTTAATGAGCAAAAATTTTATTAGTAATTTACTTGAATAACTTTTTTCATTATATAAATTTAATGTTTTAATAGCTTTTAGGCTATTTCAAAGAAATATGTGAAATTTCAAGTTCTGTTACTTTTTTTTTACTTTATTGATTTATGCTGCCTATATCAATATTTTCCACCTTACTATTAAAAAAATGTGTTGAGAAATTTTATAGATTGTTGTGTAACTTACAATTTTGGTCTGAACTTTTTTGGACAAAGTTGATGTAATAAACATTTAATACGTATTTTGTTATTGGATATGTATGGCATATAATTGTTCTCTAACTGTTTAATGAAAATTAACATTATTATTTTTAACTTTTCAGATAAAACAAAAATATGTGCCAATATAACTTCTAATGAGCAGAGCTTGTTAATGTAAAATGTTCTTGAGCAAATTTACACATCTTTTGCATTATTAAAAAAATAAGTAAACCTAGTAAATCTTTTAAGTTAATATAAATTTAGAAGTAATTGATGATTTGTAAATACAAAAAGGGTACTGGATGATTCACAATTGAATAACTATTTTTAAAGCTTTAATATTTTAGAACCTTTAGTTTGATTTCATTGCATGCATTGTATGACAATACTATCTGTGATTGTCACATTCCTATCATTGTTGTGATACCTTCCCATGAAAAAAGAATCATATCTCTTTAATTATGGTAGGCTTACAGCAAGTTTATTGCAACTATCTATTGAGGAATTTTAAAGTTTTTAGTTGACTTTTATAGATGATTGATTATCACTTGACAAATTACAACTTTCAACATTTCGTTTTTTTCCTTAAGAATAGAATATCATCTTACATATTAAATGAATCTTTGGCCTTATACAAATAA